GTGGAGGGAGCTCCTGCCTGAGGAAGAACGTGAGCCTAGCTAAACTGTAACCAGAGGGAGTTCTTCCCCATCAAGCCAGCTGGTTTCATGCCAGCGTGAGCGTAAAGGTTCCCAAACACCCCTTCCCAGGCGAGCAGGAGGAGAGGCTGAGCCAGGGATGGGTGGACCATGTGTGGGCACATCCACCTGCCCGTCCCCCCGTGGCCTGGGGAAGAGCAGCAACTCCTGCCACTGCACCAGGGGCACCCTGTCACACACAGAGTGGGGGTACCCACTCCCTGTGCCATGCCCGGGGGCTCACAGCCCTCCCAAATCCCACCTGAGCATGCAGCCCCCACTCCAGGGTCCCACCTGTGGAGGGAGCCGGGGGCTGAGGGCTGCTGGGGGTCCCCCAGCCCTGAGGAGGGTCAGTGCATGCAGAGGTGGGCTCAGGAGGGAGGAGGTGGCTGGAGCTGCTCGGGGTGGCTCCTCTGGGAATGGCCCATCAGAGGTGGCTTCCCCGGGCAGCACGGGGCCATGTCTGAGGAGCCTGGCCTTGCCCCCCAGCCAGCAGGTCCAGGTGCATCTGGGGCTTGCAGGGAGCCACGTGAGGTGGTTTCTAAAGCTGCTGTCATACCCAAGATGTGCCCTCATGGCACACGTCATCACAAGCACTGTGACCTCCTCGGCACAAATCCTGCCTCTGACAGGAGCCACATGGAAACAACATGCTTGAGCAGATGTGAAAATCAAGAGGCTTGCCCACCATGGGCATGTTCCTCAACCACATGGAGGAAAGTGGACTGGGAGGCAGGTCCTGGCCAGGAACAAGCAGAGATCTCAGTGCAGCTGGCTGGGGGGTGTGCAGCAAATCCCAGTCCTCACCACGCTGGTGTTACCCTGCCCTGGGTGCACGCTGCGGGGAGGTGGCACATTCACCCCGTGCTCCTGCACCCCCTCAGCACAGAACCCTGCTCCAAAAAGGCCTGTCCAAAGTGCAGTGGGCCTGGGCTGCCTCGGCCTCCTGGAGGTACCATCCTCAGGGTCAGGCTTGGGACCAAAGCAGATGGTCTGGGGACAAGGGGAGCACGCGTGGCACCGCGCCTGTCCCCCGGCTCATGCCACTGACAGCTGCTGCACTAAAAGGGTTTTAAAAATTAAGCCTGTCTGAAGTCCTGTGATCCACAGCAGCCTGGTCCTGGCCTGGTGAGTGCTGATTGCTGCTGCTCTGAACCATGACCTGACCCTGCAGCCCCACCACAGAACAGCTTCAGGCCTGCCCATCCCTGCCCTTCCCACCCCTGCTGCTGGGCTTTCTCAGGAAGGTTTTAAACTTTAATTATATTTGCAGTATTGAGTATGTTTAATCCACACGGAGAGGCCATCTGTTGAGGCCTGAAGTAGGTCAGGGGAGCCACCAGAAGAGCTTCCTTTGAAAAGCCCAGCAGCTCCACGGGAGCACATCAGCAACCAGCCGTGCAACGCTGCTGCAGCCGGGCCGGGCCAAGCTCCCTCCCCACGCTAAAAATAGCTCCTCTCCCATCAGCACAAGGCTGGATTCAACCCCACGCTGCACAGGGATGTGTTCTGCAGCCACCTGCCCTGCCCCTGGGCTCTGCAGCACTGCTGGGACAGCATCAGGGGGCAGCCCAGGCTCCTGGAGCTCCCTGGCAGGGCAGCGGTGCTGGGCCTGGCTGTGCTTTCTGCCCTGGGTGAGCTCCACGGTGCTCATGGCTTTGGGAGCTGAGCACAAGCTCCACAGAGGGGTCTGGCCAGGCTG